CGATATGGCGCTGACATCTTGGGACTTGAGTCTGCGCGTAGCGATTTCGGGACCAGTCATGCGCAGTCGTGAGCAGGAAGTAAAGCCGCGAAATCAAGGCCCCGCCCTCACTCTCGCAGAATCAATCGCAAGCACATGCTCCGGCACTGTTTTTTAAAATTAATTATTTAATTTAAAAAAAATTATTCAATTTAAAGCTCCAATCTTCTCAGTCCTCCGAAGATCCCGAAAAAAAGTCTGTTGGTGCTTCAGTGACTACTTCGCTCAGAGAACCTGTCAATCACAGCTGTCAATCATGACGTCACCACCACCGCATCAAATAACTAACTAAAAACAAACTTATTTTAAAAACAAACTCTTGAAATTACATCAGCGTGATAAAAACTACCGTTAATGACAGAAATCATCTTTGGAAAAACGATATTTGAAGTGTAATTTGATTGTTTAGTTGGTCTCACGTGCCGTCGAATAACACGGGGAGGCAGGGTTTATGATCTATACTGGGACCAGCCACCGGGGGGCGATCGAGACTCTGGGTTTATGATCTATACTAGGACCGGCCACCGGGGGGCGATCGAGACTCTGGGTTTATGACCTAAACTAGGACCGGCCACCGGGGGGCGATCGAGACTCTGGGTTTATGACCTATACTAGGACCGGCCATCGAGGGGGCGATCGAGACTCTGGGTTTATGATCTATACTAGGACCAGCCACCGGGGGGCGATCGAGACTCTGGGTTTATGACCTATACTGGGACTGGCCACCGGGGGGCGATCGAGACTCTGGGTTTATGACCTATACTGGGACCGGCCACCGGGGGGCGATCGAGACTCTGGGTTTATGACCTATACTGGGACCGGCCACCGGGGGGCGATCGAGACTCTGGGTTTATGACCTATACTGGGACCAGCCACCGGGGGGCGATCGAGACTCTGGGTTTATGACCTATACTGGGACCGGCCACCGGGGGGCGATCGAGACTCTGGGTTTATGACCTATACTGGGACCGGCCACCGGGGGGCGATCGAGACTCTGGGTTTATGACCTATACTGGGACCGGCCACCGGGGGGCGATCGAGACTCTGGGTTTATGATCTATACTAGGACCGGCCACCGGGGGGCGATCGAGACTCTGGGTTTATGACCTATACTAGGACCGGCCACCGGGGGAAGATCGAAACTCTGGGTTTATGACCTATACTAGGACCGGCCATCGAGGGGGCGATCGAGACTCTGGGTTTATGATCTATACTAGGACCAGCCACCGGGGGGCGATCGAGACTCTGGGTTTATGACCTATACTGGGACTGGCCACCGGGGGGCGATCGAGACTCTGGGTTTATGACCTATACTGGGACCGGCCACCGGGGGGCGATCGAGACTCTGGGTTTATGACCTATACTGGGACCGGCCACCGGGGGGCGATCGAGACTCTGGGTTTATGACCTATACTGGGACCAGCCACCGGGGGGCGATCGAGACTCTGGGTTTATGACCTATACTGGGACCGGCCACCGGGGGGCGATCGAGACTCTGGGTTTATGACCTATACTGGGACCGGCCACCGGGGGGCGATCGAGACTCTGGGTGTATGACCTATACTGGGACCGGCCACCGGGGGGCGATCGAGACTCTGGGTTTATGATCTATACTGGGACCGGCCATCGGGGGGGCGATCGAGACTCTGGGTGTATGACCTATACTGGGACCGGCCACCGGGGGGCGATCGAGACTCTGGGTTTATGACCTATACTAGGACTGGCCACCGGGGGGCAATTGACTCTGGGTTTATGACCTATACTGGGACCGGCCACCGAGGGGGCGATCGAGACTCTGGGTTTATGACCTATACTAGGACCGGCCACCGGGGGGCGATCGAGACTGGGTTTATGACCTATACTAGGATCGGCCACCGGGGGGCGATCGAGACTGGGTGTATGACCTATACTAGGACCGGCCACCGGGGGGCGATCGAGACTCTGGGTTTATGACCTATACTAGGACTGGCCACCGGGGGGCGATCGAGACTGGGTTTATGACCTATACTAGGACCGGCCACCGGGGGGCGATCGAGACTCTGGGTTTATGACCTATACTAGGACTGGCCACCGGGGGGCGATCGAGACTGGGTTTATGACCTATACTAGGACCGGCCACCGGGGGGCGATCGAGACTGGGTTTATGACCTATACCAGGACCGGCCACCGGGGGGCGATCGAGACTCTGGGTTTATGACCTATACTAGGACCGGCCACCGGGGGGCGATCGAGACTCTGGGTTTATGACCTATACTAGGACCGGCCACCGGGGGGCGATCGAGACTCTGGGTTTATGACCTATACCAGGACCGGCCACCGGGGGGCGATCGAGACTCTGGGTTTATGACCTATACTAGGACCGGCCACCGGGGGGCGATCGAGACTCTGGGTTTATGATCTATACTAGGACCGGCCACCGGGGGGCGATTGAGACTCTGGGTTTATGACCTATACTGGGACCGGCCACCGGGGGGCGATCGAGACACTTGGGCTTCACTTTTCAGGGCTTGTGCGGCACGCTTGGTTAATATGCAATAACATTAACATTTCTAACTGCTTCACTGTGGTGTAAAATGCTTTCTTACAGGGACTGATGAGGAGACCGAGAAGTTAATTAAAGTACGTATGGAGCTCGACTTCACTGGGGAACATGTGTGTTATGTTCCAGTACGCATGGAAAGATATGCTTTGTCTTCACTTTGTTTGATAAATGCAGTGAGGTTTTTAGATGATATTCATAATAATATTGTTACACTCTCTTTGTCTTTGTGTGTGTTTGAGTAAATCATTTGTTTATTGTTTTATTTTTTATTGTGATTTATATGTTCTTCAGAGGATTGATTTAGGCCCCGTCCACACTACTGCGTTTTCGTTTAAAAACGGAGACCTTTTGCTACGTTTGCACCTCCCGTCCACACTAAAACGGCAAAAACGGAGACCCAAAACGGAGAAGTTTAGAAACGCTGCCGATCCGTTTTTCGTTTTGAAACTCCGGAGGGCGTTTTAGTGTAGACGGGTCAAGACGGAGGACTTTAGAAACGATGACGTAGTAGAGGCTCACGCTCGGCTCTATGATTGGGTGTCATCAGTCATGGCGTATATCTTTGCTAGCAGCTGTTGTACAAGTAAATTCTGCATTTTACAACGCTATAACTGCCTACATGCGCCGGAGTCTAGCTATTATTCGAGCGATCTGTGACAATTCCCGTGTGCAGCGGCGGCGTTGACCGTATGGAGCGTCGGTTTGGGGTTAACCCAGAGCATGGTGGGATAATTTTATCAATGAAGTTGTGTTTACACCGGCACGCGCATGCCCAGTGTTGGTGAATGGTCACGTGATCCGCGTTTTCAGTCGTTTTAATGTGGACGGAGATCAATTCTAATACGCAGCTAAAACGCTGGTGTGGACGGAGATCGTATTCGTTTAAATTCTCCGTTTCTAAACTAAAACGCAGTAGTGTGGATGGGGCCTTAGATGGAAAAGTTACATCAAGTCAAATTTCCCAAAAAGAATCAATCTAAAAAGAAAAGATAAGGTACTGTATGTAAAAATTAATGCATGTATTAATTTCGTTTGGTGTGCATTTTCTTCTTGCTAGTTTATTAGAGAATAGATTTCTTTTATTTCAGGACAGTCCTATGCAGGAGGAAACCTCTGCACTTCTTCGGCTCTCCACCACCTAAAAAGAGAAGATCCCACAGAGTTCTGGAGAGGAACGTTTTTACGCCACTCACGAATGAATGAAATCTAATAGGTTCCTTGACCTCTTTGAACACGATCTCTGTTTGTCGTTTTTGCTTTGAGAATATTTGTGTGTGACAAATATTTTTTTGAGATGTTTTATGGTAAACACAGTTGCCATATGAGTGGCGAACATGTTTATTTACATGCAACTATTTTATCCATAGATTATATGGCTTTTGCAAATAATTTAATGCATGAGGCTGGAGACATGGGGGAAAAATGTAATCCACACATAAATAGATTATCTAGAATACATTCGTATAAGACCCGTCAGGACATCTTGCTGTAGCTCGTTCGTGTGGATATCCAAAGGATGAGGCTGTGAAGAATCAGTGGTTAAAATCAATCTTTACCACGATACCACAGCAGTATAATCCCAAACTTCTGCTGTGGTCCCTTTATTTAATCACAACCTGTAAGTATGAACATATATTGATGAATATATTTTCTACCGGGTGTTCAACATACGTAGTTTTGTGTTTTACATCATGTAAGTCTCCGGCTAACTCACGGTATTACTGAGGGCACACGACATACTGCCGATTTCAGTGCAATTGTAGATGGAAATGTGTCATGCAAATTGGTTTATTTACAGAATACACACCTGACACTTATAAAAGTCCACTGACAGAATTAACAGTAATACTCAGGCTAACTAATATATAGTAAACAATTAATCATTGTATGTTTGCATATGCAAAAAAAATTAATAAAAAAAATCTATGTATCGTGCATGAATTCATAGTTAAATATCCCAGACCTTTTGCAAACTTTTGTTGTATTTTGCTTTAGTAAAAATTGTGTTCTTGCCACAGCTTATTAAATATTATTATTATAATTATCATTATTGTTTACATCTACAAGATAAATGTATGTCAAATTACAACAACTGTATTAGGACAGTTGCAGAATTATATCAAAGCACAAAAAAATAAAATAAAAATAAATGTAATAGGCCTACTATACAAATTAAAATGAGTTAATAACTGGAAATAATTCATTGCTAATAATAACTGGTAATATTAAAAAAATAAGAACAAATGTGGTATTTTGTGGAGGTTAAAACGGTTACTACATATATAAATAATGCAAGATGCAGAAATAAGAATAGAGAAGCACCCCGAGCCTGAAAGCGCGTGTCTCACGCTGGATGCTGCGCCTGCGCACTGACGTGACGGACAAACCACGCCCACCGTAAGACTTCAAACGTCAAGACAAAACCGGAAATAGTACAAAAGAAAATGAAAGTGTCTGAATTCCACTCGAAAACATTTTGCTTTACAACCTCAAGAGAACGCGTATAATGTTGCAGAGTTTAAACGGTGCTATGTGAGAAACTGTAGTCGAGCCTGTGGTGAATAAATCACAGAATGAGAAAAGACTGGACCGATGTAAATCTGACGGACTCGCGCAATGTCTGCAATAACAAGAACACTCATAACCGCGGTCCTGCTTCACGTGGGTGAGTGCGGGGCTTTACGATATATCATATAATATAATAACCTGTTTATGAAGACTACTAGTGCTGCTAGATGAGAAACACTAACGTTACCGTTTATTGACATGTGGGGCACATCTGAAAAACGATTATTCCTTGTCAAATCAACAAATAATAATAATAACATACTTCCCATGCGGGGAACATTATTCTGTTATTACATGTCTGTTTATATTGTTTGGCTAACTCTTGAAAATCAATCAAAAAATGTAAGCTATTCTTCTTTATTTTGCTTCCATTCTACTAGGAATGTTTATGCGAATTCTATAGTTTTTGAAACATTAAGTGTTTGTACAAAGGAAGAACATAAAAACTAAAACCAAGTGGATTTTGTCCTGTTAACTGGCAGTATCCCACCCATTCACACCCCACATTAATAATCATCATAAATTTGGCATCATTTGAAAGCTTTAACCCCTAGTATTCATCATGTGAACACTTAAACTTCTAAAAATCGTTTAAAAAAATGTGTGTAAAAGAACTTGCTGTAAAGTAATGAATTTGAACACTTTTTGAACTATATTCACTTTCAATCATGTGTGAATATTCATGCGTTTGTGGATCACAGAAACAGAAGTGTTGTTTAGTGTCATAAACTGAGATTTAATCTGTACTCTGTGCACGGGTAGATTTAGTTGTGTTATGTTTGATATGATTCACAGCCAGTGGTTCGCCTATCGTTCATCCACTTCTAGTAAATGAGCCATTAAATATGTTTGTTAAAAGCTTGTGCTTTACATTGAGGCTTTAAAACGGTGTTGTTTGAGAAGTTTGCTTGAAGAAGTGTGTGGTGGCAGAGGCGGATAAGCGTCTCGTGTGGTGAAGACGGCAGGAAACCTGAAGAGAAGTGAAGAACAAAACACACACTCTCTCACACACACACACACTTACAGACACTCACACACTCACACTCACACCCACTCACATAGATGGCAGTTCATGTGGGCTGCTTGTACAAAAGTTTGTGTGTACTACTTGAAGTCTTTATTTTCCCTTCAACTTCTAGTCAGATACACTTCTAATGGGAGGACTTGAATTTCACACGCCATATTCGAGTAATATGAGTCTAGCATTGCACATGAGTGAGAACATGGGGCAACATTCAGTGAATTAATCAGGTTTTTTATTATCTTATTGGGGGATATGATGGATAATAACATCTTGATTCCTCTAAGAAACCCCTGACGGCTAGTGCTTCTGTCAGTCGGTATCGCTATACTCAGGTCGGTTTCGTTCCTCACATAGAGGGGAGAGAAGTTAGAAATACGTGAGAGTGACGTTTAGATGAATATACGTGTGCTGCAATAACTATTTATTTATTTAATGTTTTATTTGTATAGGGACAGCTACAATAAACACAGATGTGGCAACAGCCATCCCATGCGTGTGTCACAGTGCTTAGCTAACGCTAGTTACCAACAGTAATGCTGGCGATGAGAGATGTGGGTGTGTTTGCTTTAGCTCTGAGATTCAGATCTACAGTCACGTTTATTTATTCAGCACTTAATATTCAATTCCAATCACATTTATTTGTGTAGCACAATACAATACACATCGTTTCAAAGAGAGTGCACGAGTCAGTCCACATCACAGTTTACAGCGATCTGTTATCAGAGGAGACTGTCTGAGTTATGGATTTCAGAAATGTACATTATACAAAATCACAGTTATCGAAAAATTTATTAATTTACACACTGTAATAATTAAAGGCAGAAACAATGAGCTCATTGAAGGAATGGATACTTGTTTGTTAACAAATGATTATGACATTTAGAAAAATGAAGCATTGGTGCAACTTTATTATACAATAGATTGCTTTAAAATCAGTAGATTTTGACAATTTTTTGATCCACTGCGCTTTTTCTTCCCCCGTTACCTTCCGATTCATTATTTGCATTTGCATTTTATTCATTATTCTTATTCATTATTAACATTTTAGTCCTTCTGAATTAGTTTGATGCATCATTCTATAGGCACATTTTCCCACATGGTTTGGAAGACCAGATCTATGTTTTTGCCAAGTATTGGTTCAGTCAGAACAGGCTTTTGTCTCGGCGGATACGAGATAGCCGTCACACGTGGGGAGCAAACACTGGTGATGTCTCTGTCGGCCTCGTAACACCCCAGCGTTTCTCTCTCGCTGTCATCCGGGTTGGAGAGACTGTGTTGTGTCTGACATTAATGTCACTGTTTGCCTCGATTTCTCTTGTTTATTGCCTTGGGAAATGTCGTAGCCTCTCGAGGAAGGCGTTTCATCTATGAGATGTGGGATGTTTCATCAGCTCTTTGTGTCCATGGCTCTTGAAGCACGAAACTAAGAAGATGTCAGAAGTCCTACAAGAACAGCGGAGAGATTTATTGGAAGGTTTTCAGTGTTTCACATGAGCTTGATGATTAGTTCTTCTCAACACGGACACACACAACGACTCGTGCAGTTTGATTACTGTATTATTACTTTGGATTTGGGGGTGAAATGTTACAAGGCCAAGTTCATGGTATGAAAAATGCTGGTTTTGTTTTTATTTTAATTACATTTTATGAATCAAGTAGCTACTTTATCACTAGAAATAATCAAAATAACCCGTTGTTATGCAATCATTTAAAAACCCCCCTGTAGTCAATAATTTTATCCCTTAAAACTCCTCTTTGAGCACCAAAATCGTAACTCGACACCCTTGCCTCATTTAGTATGCACGGTTCTATGAATATGCAAATGAGCCCCGCCTCCACTCACTCCCTCAGCTCAGAGATCCACTGGTTGACGATCACACGTTGATCTGATTGGTTACAAGGTCGTTTGTGACGTCAGAAACACCAGCGATTTCAAACCGTGTTTTTGAGACTGTCTTTGGTTCACTGCAGTTTTAAGGAGAAAATACTCAGCAATGCTGTCGACTTATGAACTTACACACGGTGTGTCTTAAAGCGTATTAAAAACACCACATAGACACATAAACAACATTAAACGCTGGATGTTCACACAGGGGGACTTTCCTTCTTTTGTAGAACCTTTTTTGAAGTGTTGAAGCATGAAGTGTTCTTTAAACTTGAGCCAATTGAATACTTGAGTATTTCATAACTTTATCTAACTATTGTTTCCCCTTCTGAAGCATTGTGCATGGACATCCCGGCCCCGGTACATCTGGTCCTGTCTTCCCAGTATTTCGTCCACTTATTGTCCTGGGAAAAGGGTCCCGGCTCTCCTGATGGCGTCCGCTTCTCCGTCAAGATACGGGCACTCAGGTATAACCTCTCTCACACACAGCAGAACATCATATACACTAGCCATGCGTCCTAATTACACACGGGTGGAAGTAAGGGACTGTGTAAAAGTATTATTTATTTCTGCGTAACAATAAATCAGATAAAACTGTTAAATCAGCGGATGCACAAGCAGTAAATGAGGAACAGGCTCTGAAACATGGTTGTGTGTATTTCAGTCCTATGAAAAAATGTTTACTGGATTTTAATGAGAGGGAGAGAGAGAGGAGAGGGGGAGAGAGAGAGAGAGAGAGAGAGAGAGAGAGAGAGAGAGAGAGAGAGAGAGAGAGAGAGAGAGAGAGAGAGAGAGAGAGAGAGGAGAGGGAGAGAGAGAGGGAGAGGGAGAGGGAGAGGGAGAGGGAGAGGGAGAGGGAGAGGGAGAGGGAGAGGAAGAGAGAGAGAGAGAGGAGAGAGAGAAAGAGAGAGATTTTCAAAACCCTTTTTATTACAATTTACACAACTATTATTACAAACTGCCTAACGACATCATTAAATAAAAACCAATAAAAAATCTTAAAAGATAGAAAACAGCAACTCTTCTTCAACAATTTCACAAAGAACCTTATTTAAACACCATCTTACCTCAAAAGATAAAAAAATCATGCATTAATCTATAATAATGATACTCAATCAAAATCCTAGATTTGACTAATTTTACAAAAATTGCTACCAAACTGTTGCAAAACATTTTGCTCAATTTTTTCTTTTCTTGTGGTATAAATCGCCATTTTTGAGAGAATGAGAGAGGGAGAGAGAGAGAGGAGGGAGAGAGGAGAGAGAGAGAGAGAGAGAGAGGGAGAGAGAGCACAAGCTAGCGAGCGAGAGAGAGGGAGAGAGAGAGAGGAGGGAGAGAGGAGAGAGAGAGAGAGAATGAGAGGGAGAGAGAGCACAAGCTAGCGAGCGAGAGAGAGAGAGAGATTTGAGGTCACATGGAAAGTGTTTATATGGAGATGTTTGGGTCTTTCCCTAAGGTTCCCACATTGCAGTAACACAGGACCTGGAGATTTATTGCAATCCCAATCCTTGAGGCTGAGTATACAGTCATCAGTTGCTGTGAATGAAAACCACATAAGAGAGAGAAAACAGGCTTAATAATGTGGAATGACAGACACTCTTAAAAATAAATCTTTCAAAAGGGTTTTTTCCAGAACCAGGAATCAGAATCGAAGATGATCCTGAACAGATATTGTCATTGTGTGAGAACATCCACCCTGCGATAAACCAGTGTTTTCCTCCCGTCGGTGAGTGTGTTGATCATGTTTGTATGGACGCTTGTTCTAACTGTGATTGTGTGTGTGTTGCAGTGGGACAAAGCTGGTGGTGAAGGAGTGTGAGAATGTGACGTCTCCTCTGCGGTGTAATCTCACAGAAGCCTTATCCGATGTGGAGGAGACCTATTACGTCAGTGTGGTTGCTTCTCTGGGCAAACACACCTCGGATTCCCACTGCCCCCCATTCCAACCCATTCTGAACAGTGAGAGACAGATTTATATCTTCTACATGAACCACAAAACATGGCTACCGCACATAGCAGCCATTGTGTTGACAATCCTATGGCATCCATCTTATTTTTACTGTCAGAGCAGAGCGGACATTTGTAAACTCAGTGTCCAGGCTTTCAAATGTCGCTTGATATTACAAACTGGTATTTCTTACCATACGATTTTAATGGATTGTTATAATCATAAACACATTGGTTTACAAAACTTTATTCTTCACATTTTCCAGGATCAGACACTTCTAAAAGCAAATGTTCTCAAAAATAAGTTAGAGATTTCTTCAATTATGTTGACACAATTTGGCATGTTTCATTGCGTTATCACAAATAAACAATTGACTCCAAGCACAATTACACACTATGCCTATAAAATACTTTAACGCTTTTTCAAATATTATTAAAAATGTATTTAAGTAAATTTTCCTACCCTTACAAAAAAGTTTATTCGAGTGTGCTGTTAGTATAATTCTTTTAAACTTAAAATAAGAAAGTATATTTTCAATCTGTTTCATGTACTTCTCAGAAATATACTTAAAATTGCACTTAAGCATACTTGACTTATACTGACAGAAATGTCTTTGTATATTGGACTATACATGTGTCACAATGATGGAGATGAAGGAGAGTTCAAAAAGGTTTCTATTAACAAAATGGTTCTTTAATGAAAACAAACTCCGGTTATCCATAAAGATAAAGTAACGGCGTGTGTAACATGCACACACAAACACAGAGGGAAGGAGAGGAACATAAATACACTGTGATAAAGAGGAACAGGTGTGATGATCTGATGAGTTTCCATGGCAACTGATGAGTGGCGGGAAAATCAAACAAAGGAGCATGTGATGAATGAAAACAAACTGAAAGTCCATGAAAGTGAAACTAAAGATGAATAAGTCCAGATAACTGTGACATCATCTACTCAATCTTTTGATCAAAATATACTTAAAACTATAATTAAGTAATCTAAGTATACTTATATTGTAAGTATTTAATCTTTTGATTGAGTAGCCTATTAAATACTTTCACATAGTTTTACACACTGTCTTAGAAACTTACATTGTTTAAAAATATTGGTTTATAAAGAAAACGTTCATAACGTTCGGTGGCCCTGAGCGGACAAACGCGTTTCGTCACTATGTTGTTCTCCAGCTAATAAAACACTGACATGATGAGGAACAAGTAACAATAAATGCGCAATAACATCGTTTTACTGAATAATTAAGTAAACATAACTTCTTAATTTATCTTTATAAAGAAACCTTATTGCTTAACTGGCCACTCTCTGCTGTCTCAGACGACGACATCACTTCCTGTTGGCCACTGTAACTTGTGTTGGGTGCGATTCACAACCTCACCACTAGATGCGCTGAAACTTACACACTGCACCTTTAACTAGTAAACTCTGAGTATACCTATATGTTCACATGTAGTTTAGTTGCAGTACACAAATGTAGTTGTGCACTCAAAGCTTACTTTTATACACTAAAAAGTAGGGATGTAACGATTCACTCAACTCACGATGCGATACGATACTGGTTTCACGATACGATTTTCTCACGATTTTTTTGTCTGTGATTAATTTAAAAAAATTATAAATGAAAAAGTGTCCCTTTTATTATTTCTCAGACAAAATGCTGCACATTTCTTCTTAATTTTAAAATATATTTGTCAAATAAAAAAACTACATTGAAATAAAAAAATCCCTTCAAGGTTGTTTCAACTCAGTCTTTCTGTCTGTCTGGTCAAGAGGCTGGACACTGGTACCTTCGCACACTAAGTAAAAGACTATGTAACATTAGTACCACATTTAGAGGGGTTTTAATTTTGTTATAATTTGTATCATTACACTAGCAAGAGTAATTAAAAATAAAAAAACACACATTTAGAAAAATATGCCATAACCATCAATAAATTATATATATATATATATAAATAAAAAATATCCATGTACACATTTAGAGAAAGAGATAGTAAAATAAATACAACACCTGGTTGCCACGGAAACACTGATGCACATTGTGATCTCCGTGGCTCTCGCACTTGTAGTATTAATGACTTTTACATGAAAACGGAGGTGACTGGTGCTTCTCACGGTGGTGATTATTATTAGTCTACGGAAAGTCAAAATGCCGCCACACCTCCGATTTGAATGAGTTAACGTCAACATACGCTTGCCGTCGCCATGTGTTTGACGGCGCGCGCACACCAGTCTATGGCACACACTGGCGCGGCGCGAGCGGAGCAAACCGAGCGTTTTCAGTTCATTCCTATGGAAGTTGAGCTGGGCTCACACAAGATCAAGTTCCATGAATGAAGTGAAAACACTCGCTAGCTTCACGCCAGTGTGTGCTCGCTGCTATTGTGCCGGTAAAGCGAGGTTCACAACTTCACAGTAGGCTACAGTAAACGCCCCTGCTGTTTAAAACGTGTATCGCGATTCGTTTAACATTTCAACCGACTTGAATCGTCACACATTTTTATCGATTTTCAACCGGTTGCAAGTGAATCGTTACATCCCTACTAAAAAAGCGGACTAGCTCAGTCCCAAGTAGCATTGAAACAGCACTTACAGGTATACTTTAAAATGTACTTGAGCTTTACTTAAAGACTAGACCCTCCCTCCTCCTCATCCGCACACTAACCCCCCCCAAACCCTTCTTGTCAGTCATTGGCTGGAACAGTTTGTTATGTTTCGTGGTGCGGGTTGGCCCAGTTTGTTTCTGTTGCCGTTTGTGAAGCCTGGGTTGTCTGCAGAGAGTGTGTTCAGGGGACAGGCAGCTAGCGGATAGTGAGGGGATGTTTGCTGTATGTGACAAAAAATGTTTTGGCCTAAAAAACGTGTGACATCGCTTAGAGCACCTTTAAGAATACTTGAAGTTTGCTAATTGTTTGATTGTGTATCCGTGCTGTGTAATGTGTGTAATGTGTGTGTGTGTTCTCCTGAAGCTACGCTGGAGCCGCCGCTGCTGTCCGTCGCCGCATGCAATCGCTCGCTCTGTGTGAGTCTCCGAGCTCCTGCTGAGAAACTGCACAGCGTCTACGATTCGCACCGGTTCGACTATAGACTGGTGGTCAGCAGTGCAGACGGAGCCGAGGTGAGGGAACAGTTTAATACGGGATGCTTTTGAGTGTGTCCAGGCCTATTCCACATCAGGCATGTTGCTCATTGGCCACACTGTACTGGCACTTCATCAACATTATCCAGTCAGGCTTTGAGTTCATGGAGTGTGAGCAGCACATGAGAGTGTGACATCATCAGTAAACAGCCAATCATATGCCTGGAAACTGTGATTCACTTCTCGCAAGAGAGTCGGCAAGATTCACTTCTCTCTTCTGCCGAGGATTAAGAGATTGAAGAATAAGGAGAATATAAATGCATTTACACAGCGAGGAAATATCTTACTATATCAGTGCAAGTGAAACTTTATATAGTTGATCAAATATATATATACTGTATATATATAGGTATACAGAGACTCGGACATGTACGCTCACATGTAGTCATTTATAAAGCTTTATCTACCGATTCACAATCTTATTTATATTACCTGTATATAAAATGCAACGACAAATGAAAGTTAATGAACGACTCATCACAGCCCAGACAGCCTGGGCTCTTTTACCAGTTGTGTGTGCATTATTTAATGTTGTGTGTGTTGTAATCGCTGCTGTGTGTGTTGACTGGTAGTTTCCAGTGGACACTGAAGGGTTGAGGAACGTGACCGTTAAGGATCTGACCCCGGGCCGAAGGTACTGTGTGAACGTCAGTATCGTGGGTCGCAACACACCACACAGAGACCCGGTGTGTGCCGACGTCCCTCACACCGCTGATGTCTCAGGTATTCAGCTTCTCCAGACTCTACAGTATTAGACTGATACTACACTGAGGGATGCAGTTGCTAGAAGCTTCTGGTTCATCTCTGATGATTGTCATAATTAATTCACAGTGATAAATGACAGTTAAAGCTGCAGTCCGTAGCTTTTTTGGGGTTAAAAATTATCCAAAATACATATTTGAGAATACATAACCAGCCAGTGTTCAACGCTCTCTGCTTGCCGTAGCTCGACTCACAGCGGTCAGCTTGTAATAATGTGTTTAACTCCAGTGGTACTGGGGGATTCAGCGGGAGATCCGAGCATGTCTTTGCGTCATTACGTCACATGTCAAGTCACCTTTATTTATACAGCGCTTTTTACAATACAGATTGTATCAAAGCAGCTTCACAGTGATAACATGAAAATAATACAACAAAGTTTGTTTCTAGAAGAAAATTGCATCAACGTCCACCTTAAGTAAGGCAGATCAGTAATATTATTGAATATTAAATGTCCCCAACTAAGCAAGCCAAAAGCCAAGGCAACAGTGGAGGAACCAAAACTCCATCAGGGACAGAATGGAAAAATTCTGTACACACACACATCTGCACACACACACACATCTGCACACACACACACACATCTACACACACACACACACACATCTGTCCACACACACACACACACACACATCTACACACACACACACACACATCTGTCCACACACACACACACATCTGCACACACACACATCTGCGCACATCTGCACACACACACACATCTGCACACACACATCTACACACACACACACACACACACACACATCTGTCCACACACACACACACACACATCTGCACACACACACATCTGCGCACATCTGCACACACACACATCTGCACACACACATCTACACACACACACACACACACACACACACACATCTGTCCACACACACACACACACACACACACCTGTCCACACACACACACACACACATCTGCACACACACACATCTGCGCACATCTGCACACACACACACACATCTGCACACACACACACACACATCTGCACACACACACATCTGCACACACACACACACACACACATCTACACACACACACATCTGTCCACACACACACACAC